ACAAAAAAAAGAGGAAAATCGGCGTGTGACAAACAAACTAAAAATGTTTTGTTCTGTATTTTTGTCAAAATATTCCATTTTCTTGCGGCATATTAGCTGAAGTGTGTTGCCCACCTTCAACTAGCATGCCACGACGATTATGACGCAATGACTGCCTCTTATCCACTGACTTCCATGGTTTTCTTGGCTCTATGTCTAGTTACTAGACTGTTGAGATTACATACATACATACATACATAAATGGGCTCTGTCGAGCAAAATGCCATTCTCTGCACAATACAAGTAGAGGGAGGTGTTTGGAATGTGATGGACTCACGTGTGTTGGTGCTTTCTGGGGCGTCCGGTTGATTGCACAAATATGGTCATGCTCGTTCGTATTGGACTATTGCGGAATCACTGATGTATCATGCTTCAGGTTCGTCATTCTCTGGCTCTCACCGGTCACTTGCTGCAACGTAATGTCAGGATTCAACTCAATCTTGCTCAGTATTCGTTCATATGTCCGCATACTTGGCTGCTTGTAAGGCGCAAATGTAAATGAGGCGATCATTTTGTGAACCTGTGAACGTTTGCACTTTCGTTTTCCACGGCTCGAGTAGGAGACCCAATCTTGGTCCTCTTTCTTGGCCATCATGAAGCACTTGCACCGGATGTAGAACAATGATGTCTACTCATCAAAAGTTTGTGACATAAATGAGACGACTTCGTCAAGGGATAGGTCAATACTCTTCTTTGGCAAGGTGCAATCTGTAAACTTCTCATGTTCAGCCAAACCCAGATTCGGAAGCATCAGGCGAATTTTCTTCTTTTTTGGTACATTTGTGAAATCAACACGAAACGTCTTCATACTTGTGAAACCAGGGAGCGAATGTCACGCTAGTATCCGCATCATAATGAAATTCACTGATCTAGGTTTCTGGAAAGGGGACACTTTCACTTGCCCTTAACCCTGGGCTGGACTGTATCGATAGCTTCTGCGTCAATATCTCAATGAGCTTAGCCTGCTGCTGCAAAACTGCCTGCAATTGTTCGAAGCAGGCTGCCATTTCTGGGTCCGATTAAAACTCGCGTTGTCACTGTTGTACTGCTGTTTTGCTGCCATGTAAGACTGCGATTGTCTGACTGCTCAGTCACGCGCCCAACCAACCGAAGGAATACAAAAGGCCAGAAATCGGTCGACAGAGAGTGTATATTTACAGGATAGATCAGCTCTATTTATTGGTGCACGTGACATGCTAATTTTGGAGGTTCAGATCACTCACTCTTCTGCGTCTTGCTTTCAGCCAGTGTGAGTGAATTCCGCTCCACGAGTTTATCATATTGACGGAATAGTTCGATTCCTTTGATACGGGCTTGTATTTGCTGGCCGATCAATTCGCACTCGATTCCCAAATTCGGCGGAAAGGTCAAAAGTCATACCACGCCCGTGCTGATGACCTTTGCATGTAGCAGACAGCCTACGTGTTGCCCTCACGTCTATTGCTGTAATTGCTAATTGTCATTTACCAGACGCTTTGGTCGCGGATAGCGGCACAGCCAGAGCCATCACACGGACGATTCGGCAAACGTTTGTCGTGTGCCAAGAACGTACAGAAAATGACCACTCGACTCCTCAAACCACACTACCTAATAATAACTCCCAAACCAACCGTCATTCTGATGGGAACTGTTTAGATTGATAGAGAAAATGGAAGCACACGAACACCGTAATGTCCTTTACAGGATCCTTTGTAGAACTTGCGAGAACCGCTAAATGCGGATCAAACAGGGGGAATGTATCTACAAGATTATTACAGCCCGGGTGAGCCTGCCGAAACCATTATTCATCATCACTGCCCTCGGCGCACCTTGATGCCGAAGGACACAAATTTGACTTCGCCAAAATGGAGATGAGAGCAAGCATATCGAGTGACAAGAATAGTAAGAGAATTTCTCGAAGTATGGTTCTGTACAGAGAACTCAATAAACATGCACATTAACCTAGATCCGGTGTGTTAACAGCTGCGAAAGGAAGGAATTAGGCGAACCATGAACATCAACATGAAACGGAAAGAGACGGCGACCGAACAACGAACGGGCAATGGTCGCACAACAGAATCATTGAGGTCAAGTTCAAGCATTACTTTCTTATCGATCAAAGACCATTCAGCAAGATTGAATTCTACATAATAAAGCCTCGACACAGTCACCTTTACTGGTGATGAAACGTCTGCAGCAAAGTTACTCAGCTCGGAGAACAAATCAAAACATGGACAACCAACCCAAGCTACAGGTATTCCGATTTAACACAAACGTTTGGCCCATTTGAAATTTCGCATTCATTTGTTACGGGCGGCACTGCTTAATTCATTCGGTTCCAACCTGTATGTTTCTACTAAGCAGGCGTGTTCCTCCGCCTTTACTTTCCTTTCACACGTAATTTAATGGTCATTTTATCAGCTTTTCATGTTCCACTCACTGTATTCACTTCGTTTAGATCTGTGTGGATTATGTATTTTAGAAGGGGTTGATTAGTTTCGTTACCTCATTTGATAATAAAATTTGACTGGCGGAAGATTTTGGTGATTGGAAACACCGGCTTCCACGGGGCGCTCTCCGCTCCACACATTCGCCACTTCAAGCATTAGGTCACCTTAAGTGTTGTATATCTTCCATTTGGGATAATTTTGTCCCCATTTAATGTGTTGCACCAACGATATTGCATGAGATGTACGACGAGCTATACCTTACTCCTCCTTGGTGACGTATGCGAAGTGAGCGTCTAACTGCTGCCTTGGTGGATTGCATTCTTCGCGTGTTCTGCACCCCCCTATCCTGTGCTTTAATTTCGGGTGTTGGATAACGCTGAACGAAGCACCTAACTGTTCAGGTTTTGGCTCATCAAAGAAGCGTGAGACACTTGTTCGAAAGGCCGGAGTGCGTATTCTTTTTGAGCAGCTTAGAAGCCCTCTGATGTAGTCTAGTTGAGAGCTCAGCGCGCTCTTGCGTTAGCACTCGGTTGTCAGTCAAACTTTTCATTAGGCACTCCACCGTCTTCTACACCTTTTTTCTTATTTCACTTGTTGTTGGCTTCACGATTTACATCGACACTCTGCGCATAACTTTAACTTAAGTACTGGGATTGTGTACCCAAAGCAGTAATCCGCTATTCCCGATTGCCGTCTAGAGAACCCAATCTACCTCTTTTCGCTTACCCATAAGCACAGCAACTGCATCTTAGTACTTCCTGCTGATACTTTACTGCCGCATAAGCACAAGGTCCCGATTGCAGCTGCAGTGGAGATGGAGCTGATGATATTCCTACCAAATATTCATAATCAAGGTGCTTACATCTCAATGGCAACCCACTCCGTCGTTGACTTACTGTATCATGGAATGTCATCTGATCCGTTCGTTGGAATTACTGTGCAGCCCTAGTTGGTTCTCATGTTTACTCGCAACTTGGTATTTCTTTTCTATGATAACAACAAATCGAACCCATTTAAACTTGTCTCAAAAATACTTCATCCGATGCTACAAAGCTATCAGCAGTACGGGGGTACGCAGTGCCGACACTTCGCTGTCACGCAACCACCAACAGTCGCGCGTGGGATACGGATACTGTGAGGGTCACGCGGTCCCCTACGCTGGCTCGAATCTGCACGCTCCGATTACAAGGCAAGCTTGGGATCCTTTAAGCTACGGGTCGGCCTAGCCCATGCCTCCTGACTGCTAATACAATACATCCATTCAACATTAACCAATATATGCTTGGAATATCTGCCCCCTTTCCAAACCAATCCTTTTAATGTTGGAATCGCTATCTACCTTCGGCATGCTGACATCTTACCTTGGATGACTATGTGATGTGGAGTAACCACATAACGCTGACAGCTCACAGTTATCTTTCACAGGTTGTTCGCCTTCACTATTTGATCATCTAGAATGAGCTGCTACAAACCGCTTCTTATGCTATTTTTTAATGCTGCTTCCTGTGCGGTTTTACTCCTTTCAAACTTAATTCATACCAACTGTTTTCTGCTTAAAATCGAGAGCAAAATTATTTGCTGGCGTAGCGCCAGAAAATATTTTCGTAATTTTCCCCACAAATTGATTAATTCGTAATATTGTTCTGCGATCCCCTTCGCTACATTTGTTCTGCAGTGCTAATCATTTCCCCTTCTTTTTTGGAGTTAACAGTCCAGAAACATATACTTGAATTCAGTGATGGCAATAACAGATTCCCTATATGACTTTTACTTATGGACAACTCGTACATTTAAGTCTCCGGCTGTCACGCCACACAATTTGATCGTATGATCGGCTCGATCCATTTTTACGCTGATGTAAAAAACACGTTCCTATTTTTTTACCTTAACGATATAGTACCTCCTTCACATTATTCTTCATTCTTCCTTATTTCTTTGTTGGCCACGACTAGGTTGATCTCCTGTGGTGACGGATTATAGCTTCCAGATTATAAAAGACTTATAAAGACTTATAAAAGACTATACATTGCCACAAATTGACTGGCGTATAAAAAGTGCCATAATTGATTGATCCGCACGACGGACTGGGCTAAGGCTTCATCGCTCATAATACATGTATAAAAGCAGCCCTAAAAAGAACACAACGTATGATAAACAGGTGATAGCTCATATGCTACTATGCCACACCAGCACGCGGCCAGGTATAGCATGGAAGTGCGGGCGAAACCTTTCGAGGGAATACCTTGCATGGAAGCAGGTCCCCTGGGGATGGTTCCACGAGTGGCCGTATTACTTTGACTGGACATCTGTTTAAATATGCATATGTTCTTGTTCCTGGTTTTTTAATTTCTTTAATCCCTTAATCTTGCCAATTACTTTAATACCTGTTTTGGATCCATTGTAAAAAGCGTGAACAAATTGATTCTCTTTTGCGATTCTGTTGTACACATTGATCAGACCACATAGTTGGACCGCACCTCGAATCACCGAGGAATATACCCAGTTACTTATTTATTTATTTTTCTACCTACAGCTGATCTGCTGACCATTTCCACCCCCAACTATCCAAGCCATGGCAGCAGCACGATGGCCCAGCCACGAATTCGTACCCAATCCGCATATGGTCTCTGCATCCACCAGACAAGTCATATTCGAACCAACGTTCTCAAAAGTAATAACATGGCTCCATGCCAATATCCCTTTCACTGTGCTGTAGATGGAGGATCTAGATTATTCTTCCACTCAGAAGTTGCGAGAAGCGTTCGCAAAAGTATTCGATGCTTATCACCTTCCAACTCGCTGGGTTTCTTCCGTGTAGGTGGAAAGGCGTTTTCCCGGGTTTAGCCAGGAATTTGTCATTGGTCTTCTGCAGCGATTGGGTTTGGAGAGTGAAGTTGACTTATCAGAAACGAGCTTACGAATCGCCGGATTGCAGGAAGGTGGTTAGTCACTGGTTACACTCATTGATTACTTCACTTTTCCAAGGTTTACAAAAAGGCTCCCGGCGACCCCATTTAGTCGAGATAGAGACGAAAGCCCAAGCGCTGAAGGCCAGCTTAAGCACAATACCAGATGAGATAACAGATCGACGTTCCTTCATTGAATTGATCAAGGTTATCGCAAGCGCCATCAAACAGATGCTCGACGCAGTTTCTCAAGTCCTTGACACATTGCCCCACGGAGCTCAGCGTCAAGCCCTTGATGAACAGAAGCGAAGTTTCTTGCATTACTGTCGTCAGTTTAGCACCACATTAAAAAGTTACTTCAAGGACAATAAGTGAGTTCACTCGTGCTACTGTATTTCAACTTGCCATTGTCCATTGTTGTGTATGTAGAACCATCTGTCGTGCTATTTGCTTCCACATGTCTGTTCCTTAGTACCGTTGTTATAGTCCCAAAGGTCGTTCCAGTCGCTCTGATTGGTTTATCAACAGGCGAACTTTAAGTACTAGTTTATTTGCCAGAAGAAACAGGGTGATTGCATGGCACACGCTAGTGGCACTTATACAGCGCGGTTGACCGTGAACGTTCTTTGTTCTTTAATCTTTACTTACCAATCATAGTAACAGACTGTTCTGGTACACTCTTCTGATTCACCGATGAAATTTTTTCGCGGATTTCTAGGTTAAGGATTCGAATTTAGGGATGTTCGTTGCCCTGTTCGATTCCTTAGGGAGTTCTCCCCTTAACACCCCGTTTGAGGTCCAACGTTTCATATTTTCAGTTGGCCACACCGCAGTGTTAAGGGAGCTGGCACCTCTTTGCTAGCAGCCCGTAACCTTTGACCCGGCTGCAGCCCGAATCTTATTGGCCAACCAATAAGAGCGGGCTAATGATAACGTTTCACTTTGAATGCTGCCACTGAGAATAGTCTACCTTGAAGCCAGCCAGTGGGTACTAGGTCATTCCCTTTAAACTATTGATTCGACTCCATTTTTGGTCGTTTATTCTGCTTGCCGTATGTTCCACACAATTTTCGCTTGAGGTATTTGTCTTCTAACCTTTTAAGTCGGCCGGTCAGCTTGCGCACTAGCAGCAGCTTGTCCATACAATCAGCGGAAACCACAACAGTTTTGGCGACGGAGGGTGATTAAATTAGGATGTCAATTTCATCAGAAGACCTGGAGACCATTTTGTTACAACAGAAGCAGAAATTTGAAGCCACACGGCTGCGAATGATTGAGACTCACCCGAACGTTATCTGTTCAGTCCACACTCATCCAGAACTGGGTACCGTTCGGTGGTCGCAGTAATCAGCAGCGTTAGTGAGTTCATTTTTGATCTTGATTCAGGACTAATATTCGATGCGTGGTTCAGGCGCTATGAAGTTGTTTTCAGGACAGGGTTGTCTAGTCTCGACGATGCATCGAAAGTTTTTGTTGTTACGAAAACTGGGAACAGTCGAGCATGACTGATCTCTCAACTATATTTGACCAAAGAGTATCCATGGTTTCAGCTTTGATGACACAGTTGCTCTACTCACAGAAATCTTTGGAGACAACTGGTCGCTTTTTAATAATCGATACAACTACTATAGGCTTTGCAAGAAATGTAGTGACAGTTTTCTTATTCGTGCGGCGACAGTAAAGTGTGAATGCCAGAAATTACAACTAAAGTCGCTTACCGAAGATCAGTTCGCGTGCCTGATATTAGTGTGCAGTTTGCAGTCCCCAAAAGATGGCGGAATCCGGACCAGAATACTTGGAACGCGACCCGGATTTCACATTACAAAAGGTCGCTGCTGAAGTCCATAGGATCATGAATTTAATGCACGACACATCTATGGTGGAGAATTCAAAGGTGCATACTGGTCATCTTACTGTCCAGCAGGTTTCTAGGATCAGCACTCCAGCAAATGAACACATGAGATGTGCACAAGCTAAACCCCCATTAGCTTGCTGTCAACACGGAAGTTGGCATTTTGTGAACTAGTGCCCCTTCAGCAGACACATCTGCCCGAACGGCCATAGACGTGAACAAAAGGAGACCTACTGCAGGTTCAAACTACCGTTCAGGCCACCATACACTGTCCGAAGCCAAGGTCGCCACAGGTTTTCATGAAGAGTAAACGCCAACTTCACCGAAAATGTTAAGGATAGGAAGAAGTTTGTCACTATAAAACATCAACGGGAGATTGGCACATTTGTAAATTGACCCAGCATCCGACATCACTCTCATTTCGGAGCATCTGTGAAAGGCTGTTGGTGCCCATGACATTACACTGGCCGGCCAACAAGCGACGAGCACATCAGGCACCAAATTGAATTTACCCGGTCAGATTGTATATGAATGCCGCTTTGCAGCTTTCACCGATTGGCGAAATATTTTCGTTGCAATTCACGAGAACGTGCTCCTCCTTGGGCTATATTGGATCGAACATTTCAACCTTCTGGATGTTCTTTCTTTCTTTGATCCCGCGAGTGATCAGCAGTATCTGGTCGTTGTTGATTCCTTTAGCAAATGGCCTGAGATCTGCATGGAGCATACAACAAGTGGCGAAGAATCAACGTTCTAAGAAGGCTTTTCATCCAGCACGGCATATCTTAAACCTTAGTCAGCGACACTGGTTCTCAGTTCACTTCTTACCAGTTTGCCGACTTTTGTGCACAGAATGACATCACGCATCTGCGCTCACCGCGTACCACCCCCAGTCAAATTGGCAAGCGGGGCGTTCCCTCGACGTGTTAAGCGGTCTGTACTGAAGATGAGGGGAAAGGAACTACGCATAGAGATACTGGACACTTTCCTGCTAGTATAGAGATTAACCTTGAGCCCCATCATGCCAAATCAATTGTCACCAGCAAAGGCTTTATTGTGAATATAGGTCCGTACTCTGAATTCTTTGTTGCTCCTGAGGCGTACTATCTCGTAGGAAAAGGATCCGCAGCTGGTAAGATACTACAGTGCGCGACGCAGAATTCAAGCACGTCACTTTTCTCCGGGACAATGTGTTTTCATCAGAGGCTATCGCGTAGAGAGTCCTCAGTAGGTGATTGGATCGATCCGGAGGAGCCTTTGTCGGATACTGTATGAGGTCAGAGTGACGGCTTTGGACCATACTTGCTAATCGCCTGCGACTAACTAGCATCTCGGCAAGCACTAGTAATCAACTACTATCGCTAGATGTTCTACTGGGCAGTTTCGATATGCCATCAAACACTCTGTACGCTTCGGATACACCTCGCACAGAAGTTCCAGAAGAGGCGAACTTGAAACCATGACGTCGGACTAATCGAGTACGGCGATCTGCCATCGGAATGCAGTTGGATCCAAGGAGGAAGTCGTATGTTACTTTTCGCGGGGAAAATGTTAAGGGAGCTGGTACCCCTTTGCTAACAGCCAGTAGCAGTTGACCCTGCCGCAGCCCGAAGCTTATTGACCAACGAATAATGGCGGACTAATGATGAGATTTCACGTTGAAGGCTACCAATGAGAATGGTCTACCTTGAAGCCTGCCAGTGAGTGCTAGGTCGTTCCTATATAGAATTTATTTTTGATTGTTTATCCTGCTTGCTGCATGTTCCACAAAAGATTCGCCTGAGACGTTTGTCTTCTAACCTGGAAACTCCTCCGTTAAACTTGCGCACTAGCAGCAGGTTATCGGGATAATCTGCGCAAACACAACAATTACCAACTCTGCTATGCTTTTAGTTACGGAAGACGAAAGTGTGTTAGTAGATCGTTCAAGCTTTTCTAAATTTGTGTTGTATCTATGGTGTGAGCATCCAATCGATTGTTCGAACGCCCGAACCATGGAATTTGGATGGATACAACTTAGCCAGATAAATGCCGTTTCAACAGACACTCGATGGTGCACCATTTGGAAATGTTTCGACGACGCGTCTTATGTTTGAGTTACTTCTCAACGATACGGGTGAAAACCCGAGCGCCTCCTCGGTCCCACTTTTTTTAAAACTCAAATGAGCCATGGCCGTATACGATGCCACCAACGCAATTGATGCAGCTGCCTACTTATTTGATCTGGTCGACCATTTTAACGGTTATTAGGTAGTTCTGAAACTCGGTGTCGTCGGTCCAGTGCAAAAACAAGGCTTTACCTTTTGAAGTGGCAATGTACATACAAAGGCGTTCTACACTTTAGCCTGTTGTGCAGCGCTTGCATGCCAGCTGCCACAGATTCAAGAAAAAACTGAATCACCAATACGTCGTATCGATGTTCTTTTTACTACCACTTCCCTACCATCGGTTGCGCGATGACTAAGAATACTGTGGGATCACCATAACGTGCTGTTGCGTCACTCGGCGTTACCTTTGAATGGTCGCGTCTTGAATGCAGAGAAGTGAGCGTTGCCGAACAAGGTGCATTGACACAACAAACACAGGACCGGGGGAATTGTAAAACCATACATCCACCACAGTCGTTCACAGAAAAATGATTTTTTTGTTATACAATCGACTACTGAGGACGTCTTTGCGTTCAAAAATCTTTAATTCTATGCACTCGTTTGGGAAGTTGAGACGAGAATCTGTCTGCACGGATAAAAATTGTTTCAATTGGACAGCAGGTATCGAAGCAAAAGTTTAAGTAACTTGAGGCACTTGTGGCGTCGTCGCGACGTCTCATTCTCACTAAAGGGTCGAGTTTACAGCGCGTCCGTTCGCTCAGTATTGTTGTACGGGAGCGAGTCCTGGCCGATTCGCGTGGAAGACATGCGTCGTCTTTCTGCGTTCGATAACGGTTGCTTAAGGAGGATCGCTCGTGTTCGGTGGCAACATCGACTTACCAGTAATGACGTTCGACGTCGCGTCTTGGGGAATGCAAGTATTTCCTTCAACAAACTGGCTTTGTTGCGCCAGTTAAGATGGCTCGGTCATGTCCTACGCATGGCACCTGAGCGTCTATCGCGTCGCGCTCTATTCGCTCGTCAAGGACCTGGCTGGAAGCGACCGCGTGGTGGTCAGCCTTCCACTTGGCGGCAGCACATGAAATCGCTGACGTCGTGTCTAGCTGCTGTTGGACCCGTACGTCTTCCAGGATGGGGACCCAAAGATGGCGAGTGCCAATGGCTTAGGACACTTGAAGACATGGCCCGCAACCGGAATCAGTGGAAGAATTGTGTACAGTGTTGTGTTGATTCACATGTTTAATTCTACAAAAATTGAAAATGGCAAAAAAAGAGAAAAACCGGCGTGTGACAAACAAACTAAAAATGTTTTGTTCTGTATTTTTGTCAAAATATTCCATTTTCTTGCGGCATATTAGCTGAAGTGTGTTGCCCACCTTCAACTAGCATGCCATGACGATTATGACGCAATGACTGTCTCTTATACACTGATTTCCATGGTTTTCTTGGCTCTATGTCTAGTTACTAGACTGTTGAGATTACATACATACATACATTAAGTAACTTGTTGTCTGGTCACAATACTTCCTTACGTCTGCATCGTAAACTAGACTGAAATCTTTAGAGGCAATAATTTCACGCAGTTGCTGCATGTTCTGGGAAAGGCATTGTCTCCGCCTAAACTTTTTGTCTTTGCGACGGGTGAGATCTTTGTGGTTTGTTTTGCCACAGATAACAATGGCTAACTTTACGATGACATAGTGAAAGCTTCTGATTACAAAGAAAAAACACCTTCAGGTTGTTAACAAATACCATGTCAAGTATTGTATCTAACCTGCTTGCAGTCTACATGATCTTCTTTAACCCAAGATTCACAATGAATCTAGTGTACCTCCGTCTTACCATTCTTCGACTTCGGAGTTGGGACAGCGAGTAGAAGTTTGATTTTGACGTTTGTTGGTGTTGATGATTGCCAATAAAATTGAACAACAACGGTCCAGGGCTCTTGGTTTGCATTCAGCGATTAACCAGCTGATGTGTTGCGAGATGTAGCAAAATATGCCTTTACTGGACGAGCGCCGTGGAGACATAATGTAAAAGGTAACACTAGTTCCGCGGTTCCTCTGTGTACATTAGCAGTCAACACGAAAAGGGTTACAGACGTCGAGTTCCACAACTGCATCCTCAACATCAATGTGTAGCCAGGTTTTCTGCAGCATACTGATGCTCAAGCGAGCATATTTGCGACATTCTATCGCACTTTTGAGGTCTCCTAATTTTCAAAGTAGCGATCGGACTTTGTCACTGAGTGAAATAGGTAGGTTCATATTTGAAATTTTTCCTCCGATGTGCAACCTTCTATCATACGTGGTGGAATTTCTTTGCCCCTTTTCTTTGTATTTTGTCTCGAATAGTTTGACTAGGAACAAGTGCCCAATTCATATGTGTGGAAACACAAAAGCATCGCCAGTGTAAACGATATTGTCACCATATGCAGAATAAAATATTGAAAAGTTTAAACAAATGGTTCAGTGCAGTGCCGAGGAACGGTAGTAAGAATTTTAGAGTACGCCCAAATTTGCAGGTCCCACCGTAACCTATGGACTAAGCGAGAAAACTAATAGACGTAAGCTGTGAGATGGCTCAGTCATTTCGTACGTGCTTACCAGTCACGAACTAGCACACAATGATAGATATAACCTAACGCAGTCATATGGGATCGATAAGTGACCAATCGGTGCACATTGCGCCATAGGTGCCTTCGACCTTAACGCAAGATATGTTCGTGTTTCTGTCTCTTTTTCAGCTATAATCTATCACTTGTATTCCCGTTTGTCGCGGTTCACTTCTTCGTTTAGTTGGAAACCACAAGGCCTTTTCTGGTTTGCTTGCATGGTGTCACTCCAGTTTACTCATAGTTTCTCTTGGCTTTGCATCCCAAATGTTGTACATATTTCTTTTGTTAATCCCGCTTTGCGTTTCCCTTCACTTACCAGCCAACAGGCGGTGTACAACAGTGCCAATCGTCTGGTCAACCAAGCGAATTTGACGCTTCTGGTCATTCGACAATTCGACTGAGCCACAAAGCCATGAGAGTGTATTTGCTGCTCTCCCTAATTCATCCTCTTTATCCAGTCACTCAACATTTCTTCTCCTCTGGTTCTCTTCTGCTTCAGATATTCACCGCCTGGTGCCGATGATTATTAGCTTACCATACCCGCTAACCTGTTTTTTCGCACTAATTTGTTACCTTTTTCATCTATTAGGCTTCATTTTTATACCATTTTTACTTTGTTTATACAGAACTCTGATGGTGTTTTTTCCTAGTCTTACTGTTAATTCCTAGCACACCCTGTTCTGTTCTTTATTTTCGACCATATCACGTTTGGTTTACTCTCAGCGATTTCCACTGGATCGCATATTCTTTCTATGAGCAAGTGCATCAACGCATGAGCAATGTCATTTTTCTTCGGCCATTAAAAGCAGTTCTGACTTGTGCACTTGTTACTCTGCAATCACTGGAGAACAGATGAAAAGTATCTTGGCGCATTCTCCTGAACACCTTAATCTGTAAACTTCACAGCGTTCACATACAGTGAGGATTTTCTTAGACCAACCGGTCGGCTCTCGGAGATGTAGACATATTTCCGAGCGAGTTTTGCATGTTGCGGCACACTGCATAGCATTAGTGAAACAATTCTTTGGCTGATCCTTGGAGCAGTAACGTCTGTAAGTTTAAATCCGTCAATTAGATGACCAAAGCTTTCGAATTCGCATACACAGCCTCTGAAACGACATGTCTACCCTCATTACCACACTAATTTCATGCGGAACAGTTCGTTGCAAACGGGAATCGGTCTAGTAATTTTTCAACTCTGCTTTGAGTATAGGAAAGCGTTACTGTCGCGCCAAGGCGAAATCCGAAAACACTGCTGCGTAGTACTCATTTACTCAGGTAAGCGGTACGAACAGCTATACACCAAAGCGAAACGCATTGTGGACGATAGTTGCGCGAATCAAACGGACGCTGATCCAGAATCACCAATCAGTAACTGTCAGGTGGACCACTAGCCAGCATTACACGGTTGGCGGCATCCGGTTTCGGATTTGGCTGTCACAGTGGCCAGCCACTGGACTCCTGCGCTCACAGAGGGACCAGGGTTGGCTTGCCCTGCACCACCTACAGCTCCAACCACACAAACCCATATTCAGTGTAAACCAGAAGGAATAAGACCGGGAGACATGTGATTGGGAGCCACGTTTCATCAACGGAGCCGGCCCACACTTCTTCACAGACAAACCCAAGCACGCTGTAGTTGGGGAATCAATCGCACACAATGCGGTGGCTGGACCGTAGTCCGCTCCACACTGAGTGCATGCAACCACTTTTTGAGCCTAGTACGGCCGTAAGGACCGTGCACCCGTCCCCTTACAGCAACGACCAACTGTCTCCTGGAACCAGTATGAACGAGATAGTGAGTAATAGATAGATAGGCACCTTGTCAACATGCGCACCAAGTGTAGCCACTCCTGGGATCTCAAGCAACAGTCAATCGCTTGAAATAACAATATCAAATAAAATGTATCTTATAGCCTAGGGATATACCGACATTACATGGAATGTAACTTGGTTAGCATCGAATCCGCAAGAAGTAAACGTTATCCAAACAATGCTTCAGACGCAGTGAAGCTAACGAAGATACCCACAATAAGCGTAAGCAACGCGTACAAGTTAGTAGAAGATTATTCAGGTAGGCAAAACAAACCAAATAAAGTGGTATGAAACTTATCCATCTTTATAAAGACCAATTTTAAGTGTACGTTGATTTAGCCGAACTGCGGTGGAGGAGCATCATGGATGCAACATCCACCTCAGCATGAAGCCCTTCCGGCAGTAAGTACACACGTATTAACGCGCGCAGCATGCGCACGGCACTGTGTATCATCTACTGTGTGATACGTAAACACCTTGTTCATCTTAGGCTTCTCAAACTGTTACCACGTCACTCGAGATATTTACATTGGCTGTAGATGGTCGTGACCACTCCTTGCTCAATCATTTTGTCCGTTCCATTAATTGGCTACTGTCTGCAGGACCTCAGCCTGCACTGTTCGGGCATACGAGTTAGTGGGATCTCCTTTACCGAAAGTGATATCCGCTTGTCACTTCATGTGAACCGTAATATGTCGCCGATGCGTGATGGATTTACACTCTGCATTTTCATTGGCTTGGGAAAGTAAATTTAAAGACATTGCTTGATGCAGGTGCGTCGGATCCGGCAGTTGTGTCTCTCTTCACGTTAATGAAGATGGGAGGATTTGCTGAGGGCCAGTATTTCACAAAGTGGAATGCTTGGATGCTTCAGAGGGAGCTCCGTGATTGTCAGACCTAAAGTTAACCCTACATGCAGGAGATCGAATGCAAGCACGCGACTAACTTAATAAAAATATCTAATACGTGGCCTATTTTTCGACAACGCAAGACAGCTCAATCCAATGGTCTTATCAAATAGCTACTTGCACGGAAACTTTCAGGCTCCCGTCCCCCGGAATGCAGCACGCTCCGTAGGTGCCTTCACTTCACAATGTTCAGTGGGTTACGTCTTGTTGTTTATCGTTGAAAATGCAGATAAGATTGGGTGGCCTTTTCGGTCCCATTTATTATCACATCATCATAATTATGTACATTAGCTAGTGGTGGACAACACCTCGGCTACTGTGCAGCAATACATAAAGGACAGAAAAAGAAAGAAGGAAAAGACATGCAACAGATGTATGCCAGCTGAGCTACCAGTAACGGATGGACATCGTTCCGGCAACCCACCCGCCGACTACTATGCAACAACCAAATTCTTAAATTCGCTTAGATTATGCTAAGAAATGGGATTGCGGTTGGAGGAAAAGGAAACTCAGCACAAATGCCATTGAGGTCGGTTCCTAGCCAGGCCAGCAAGTTTATCCAGCCAAAGATGGTCATCGTCTTTCGGACCCCAACCAGGGGCTCGAGGCCAACTTCGAAGTAAGGGCCTACATTTCTCTCGACCATCGCTTGGCCACCCCCTTTTCTGTCCACACCCCTAAATCACAAACAACGCATGTCGCGGGAGTCAGGAGGCTGGCATGTGTAAAATGCGACTGAGCCTGGCGCTTGAAATGGTGCTAAGCGGTTCATTTCTTTTTCCTGTGCCGCAAACAAGGCGTCGAACACGCTCCTTGCTCACGCGGTGTTCCCACCAGATGTAAGCCAAACTACGAAGGCACCGGTAGTCGAACGCAAATTGCCTCAATGTCGGCTGATCTAAGGGCCTAAGTGTTACAACCGTACAGTAGAGTGGAACGTACCACTTCATTGTACGCTCTACCTTTCAGGACGAGAGTGATGTCGCCCGGGTGCCATAGGTGGCGAAGGTTAGCAAAAGCACCTCGAGCTTTTGCTGTACGGTTCGTGATCTCATCTTCGATCCCGAGGACTCTGATATAACTTCCCAGGTAGTTGAATTTTCGAACAACTTCTAGCTGATCCCTACCAAAGGTCAGTGCAGGAGTCGGTCCATGCCATTCTTGGAGGAAAGCTTTACACGAAGCGGCTGACTGCTAGTGCTAATGTGTCCAGTGCTGCTTGCCACATATGGGAGCTGTCACAGATGAGGGCAATATCGTCTGCAAACTCTACTTCAAGAAGTCGCTCTCCTGAGAGCGCACCTAAGTCGTGTCTGTGAACGCGATCCCCATGACTTAGTCAATGGCGAAGTTAAAATGTGACAGCGGGCATCCTTGTCTCACACCGCTGGAGATATCGAAGGGCGGCGACAGTTTGCCGTAAGCCCTCACTCTGCCAGAGCTGCGCGCGTATAGTGCACGGATAATTTTTACCTTTCTCGGCCACACGTTTCCTGAGTAAACAGTCGAAAAGGGCACATCGATCAACCGAATCGAAGGCATCTTTGATGTCTAGGAACACGACAGCAGTGGGCCGCCGATATATGTGGCGGGGCTCCAACAACTGACGCAAGATGAAAATATGGTCAATGCATCCATGACCCCGACGAAACCCGGCTTGCTCCTCACGAATCTGACTTTTACGATCGCCATTCATTCTGCGAAGGATTACAGAGGCAAGTAATTTTTGTCGATGGGATCAGCCTGATTCCTCTATGGTTGCCACATTCCGAGCGCGAGCCTCCTTTGAAGATCGGGGCGATAACGGAGCAGCTGCAGTTGTTTGGGACAATTTCCCGCTCCCACAGTTTCACTAGTAATTCGTGTAAATCCTCAACAGCAGGTCCTCGAATTCGATAAGGGCTTAATGAAGATTATCTGATCTGTCGGCTTTATTCAATTTCAACACGAATCTCACGTTCGACACCTGAGCGATATGTCGGATCCAAAGGGATAGCCCAGGGAGCAGGGTGATCCTTGGTCGCGATGAGGAGTCTAATGATTCCGGCCAATTAACTTGCTTTACAAAATGCTCAGCCCAACGCTGCAAAGGTTTTTACAAGTCGTGGATAGGCTGTCCACTTTCGTCACGTATATTTTCACTAACACCAGTTCCCCTGATGCCCGTTTCCCGTATCAGACGGAATAATTTCCGATGGTTACCAAGGGTAGCGACCACTTCCATCTCTTACGCAAGAAAAGACTAATAGGATTCGTTTTCTCTCTTCAGATTAGCACGGAGTTTCTGCGACTCTCATTGTGTTCGCTTCCAGTCGGAATATGCCGGCGAGCATCGTTCAACTACAGAGACCTCGACGAGACCCATTGTCCATGTTGGCTATTGGATTTACCACATGAGGATTGGCCTGCTACTATTCAGGTCTGGTGAACATGCGACCAGTGACCTTCTCTTGTATCCAGTGAGCGCTTACTCAACTCGCATTCAGAATAGTTGGCTTCGCCAGTTGTCATTAGTTCATAGTGTCTTCCTGGGCATTCGCCGAAACTCATCCGCAGGTCAGCGCATACAAGTGCGTGGTCGGTATCCATACATGTACTCCACATCGAGCAACAGTTTTGGACGCATCCTCTCCTTCGATGACTGACTGCATTGTGATCGATTTGCATCCATGGCTGGTTCAAGGCTCATGTGCGCCAAGTCACCTCTGGCGGGTGCTGTGTCGGAAATTAGTGCTCGAAAGATATAAGCGAGCACCTTCACACTGGGCACTTAATGTCTAGAGCATTCCAAGAGCATCTCTGCTCAAAGATATCAATAGCAAATCATTTCGTACGCATCTCCAAAAGATTGATTCTCAAATAGATGCAATCACCGGCATCAATTGTGGTGTTCTGTTTGATGGAAAACGGCTGTAATGAGGCAACCAAATGTACTTTCCTGAAACTTAATGGGATGCGGCTATATGGTCAATACGTTCTAATCAGATGTATTAGCCGACTGCTCTCTTCTTGGTGACTTTCCTTGACCGGTTGCCTTACAAGCTACAATGAAATTGGTGCTCCGGTCAATTTAACTCCAGTGGACTTCTTGA